ACACATTCCTTTCTGCTCCTGACCTTTTGGCCAGACACTTACTGGTCCGGAGAGACGCCGCTGTTCCTGAGACGCCCACTGGACAAGGTACCAACCACACACTCACCAGGGTGTCCAACAAAATTCCACACTGGAGCATATTATGTGCAACTTAAAATGAAGATAATTACTGCAGTATTTGATATAGTCTGTCCTGAATTGATTTAATTTTATCCCAGCTCTGATGCGGCCCTTCAGAGGAGGTGCAGTCACACACAACGGAGCTCCTCTTTACAGGGAGACAGTCCTAAAGCCTGGGGATGTGATTGGTCTGGGGAACCACTTCCTTTTCCTGTACCGTGACCCTCGTGTGACTCCAGCTCCACCACTGGCACTGACCCTGCCATGGCAGGCTGATATCTCCACCACCTGCTGCCCCTCAGGATTGGTGGACAGACAGGAAGCTCTGAGGCAGTACTTAGGATCCACTGAGGCAGTTTTGAAATTCCATCCTCGTCAGGCAGATGCCTTGTTACAGGTGAGACAAGAAGATAATGAACTTATATAAACTCATAATAACTGTCTAGTTATCTAGTGTAGAAAGGGGTCTTGATAACATATTTAATGTTTCTCTCATGCTTCTTGTAGGAGATAATCACCAGAAATTCCTCTCCAGACTCTGGTGGCGGGCCTTTGGCTCCTGCTTATCTCCTGTCAGTGCTGATAGATTATGCCTCTAAACACCTGGATCCTGCCCTCACACCACAAATATTATTGAAGTCAGCCAATCTAATTAAAGAAATTGTCTGGGTAAGTGAAAGATTCAGTGGCTTCAAATACAAAATAAAAATGGCATTAGGGCCCTGGTGCCCTGAAGTTGATGTGCCAGCCATGAACCACAACACATCTAGCTGTAAATCTCTGTTGTATGCAGTGGAGGAAGAAACATTCAGATCCCTTACAAAAGTAAAAGTAGAAATACCCCAGTGTAAAAATACTCTTACAAGTAAAAGTCCTCTATTCAAGTATTAGTATCAAAATATACTTAAATTATAAAGTAAAGTAGTTAAAGTTAAAGTAGTTTATATGCCTATAATTTGATGTACTGATTGGTAGCTTGTGATCAGAGATCAATAAAGTCTTATGATTAGGATATACTGTATTTTTTAATTATTGATGTTGTGATTTTGAAAAGTAATTAGTAACTAGATTGCTGAAAAAACGTAGAAGAAAGCATCTGGACATAGTTTTAGTTGGAAGACCAGGTTATACGCAAGCTTCTAGGTTATAAGCCAGTAAAAGTCATTAGCTTATCACCAATCATTGCAGACCTTTGATCATGAATAGAAATCATTTTCAGACCTTTGAATAAAGTTTCAGAACCAGTGGTCCATTTCCAAATTTCATGGCAAACCATTTACTAGTCAAGATATATCAGTCTGTACCAAAGTGACAGACCAACTGATTGGACAGATGTGATGCTAGCATGGCTAAAAACAAGATCTTAATATGTAAAATGTGATAAGTAAATTGATAAACTATCTCAGAGGTCCAAGAATGGTTCATCTGTGAACCATGAACCTTTATGGGATCATATTGCTTGGCCATGATCACACTTAAACAAGCTTAGTAGGAAAACATCAGGTATGCATATTGAGACTGCTTTATTCAGCCAGGCAGAAAAACCAGCAGCCAGACAAATGTCCTTCATTGAGGCCTGCTAGGTTGTGGACAGGAGTGAGGATGAGCTGATGTCAACTCCCTGCTGCTGGAAAATGTGCTGTAATTGTCCTGGCTGCAGGGCTAGACTCTGCTGCCGGTCCTCCACCCCCACACTCAGCCAAGTTGTCTCTCCTCTCTTCTGTCTCCAACTCTCTTTACAGGATAACATTAAGGAATTTGGGGATAAGCATCCCACGCAAAAGTAAGAGCATTTTTGTTTTAGGTCATGTTTCCTCTGTTTAGAGATCTCCTGCTGATTGATTCATCATACATTTATCCTTTGGTAAATTTTTGAGGTATGAGCTCAAATATAGAGTCATAATAACGTTATGTCTATTTTTACTCACAGTATGGTGTATTTCTCTTTTCAGACACAAACAAAACACTGACAGAAGAATGTTCACAATCATTTTAGAGCTAACACAACTTTGGCATTGCATAAATGTTATGTTCAGTTCCACAGAGCAAGAAGGTGAGATAAGTACACCGAACATCCAGACACTGTCATCTGATCTTCGACCCCTGATGTTCTGGATGTCAAATGCCACAGAGCTCCTTAACTTTTTCCAGGTCAAAGTTGAAACAATGGAGAAAGAGTGGGAGTTTGAAGGTGAGAGTGATTTGGAAATAGAAATAACTGGTTCATGTAAAAAAGATATGACATTTTAATCAAATACTACAGAACTTCAGCAAAGCTGAACATAGACATTAAAGCTGATACAAAGTCTTTGAGAATATTTTTTCTTTAAAGCTCCTGGGGACCCAGTTTTGACAGCTGATATGGACATCTGCTCAGAGGCACTGGCACAGCTGGATGATGTCATTATGCACACCTTCCAACAGTGTGTGTATCATCTCACCAAGGTAGAAAAACAAGATAAAAAGCATCCCAAACCCATACTAAATACTAATTCTATACAGTATCCTACTTTATTAATAGTCACTGTATACTGTTGTAGCAAAGTGCATACAAATAAAGTCACCATACTGTAAGGGTACAATATGTGTGATGGAAAGCCATTGCCAATTAAACTTTACAAAGAGACAGCAGAATGTTTTTCTTAAGACTTAGTACTTATTTTGTTGTTTTCCGAGATCTCTCTGGAGCCCTCACCACCACCCACAATTTATTTTAATTTTTTCCAGCTGGGCGTAGCTCCTCCATTTCCTTTGTGCTTTGCACTGTGGGAGAACAGTGTGCATCAACAGCACACTCAAAACTGTACTGTATTTGGAATATAGTCTGCTGTGAGTCAACATTTTTGTTACTTTGCCAGTGTAAGTACACTACATACTAAACTTTTGTGTAGAATAAGCATGTAGTATGGATTTAAAGATGTCTGCGACCATGCTAAAGGCTGACATGCTTACAGTGACCGTGAACTTCAGCAGGTGTAATGTTTATCATATTCATCGTCTTAGTTTAGCATGCTAGCATGCTATTTATTGTACCACTAAACACAAAATACAGCTGAGGCTGCATTAGTTTTGTAGGTATTTGGTGATAAATAACTAATTAAAAATTTCACTTGATGAAGTCTGGAGAACATCAGCATTAATAAAATTCATCCTGGGGTGGACAAGAATGAAAGTCTGTATTGAATTTCATGGCAGTCAACTTCAAGATGACACTGGAGTAACAGTCAGGGAATCTCCAAAGTCAGTAGGCTCCATCCTGTGGGAACCATAAATGTCTGTACAACTACAACGGGGAACACACCTCTCCACCTTCCATCTGTCATCTTCAACTTGATCCCTCCCCTATTCATCATTCTAGCAATATATACTTGGGATTTTATTTCTCATTTTAAAACAAATTAACTAGTTTTTGTCCTTTCTGTCCACAAAGACCTTGTACTCACTCCTTCCAGCCCTCCTGGACACCAACCCATTTTCAAGTGAGGAGAAAGAAAAGGAGAAGGATGGAAGTCCAGGTGCAGAGGAAGAAGCAAAAACAGGAGAGGAAGGGGGGGTGGATGACGTGTCCACCTTACCGCCTAAAGTTGCCGGGCTGGTAGAAGTGTATCGCTGTTCTCTGATGCTGTCGCGGGAGGCGTGTCTGTCCCCACCTCTCACCTCCCAAACCTTCGGCTACCTCTTCTTCTTCACCAACACCTCCCTGCTCAATACTTTGCTGGAGAGAGGTGAGAGGGCACGGGTTAAAGTGAGATAATGCTAAAATGAAGTGGAACAGTAGCACAAGTAGAGAGAATTGTCAGGTAGAAATCAATAACTACTGTGACTAAAGTTTGTCAACATTAGCCAATTGAAGCTACTGGTCATACTAGACCAGGAAAGACGGTACAGGTGTGAAAGTGTACATTTTATTATTTATGAACTAAGCATTTCATTTATCAGCGAAAAGGTGTGTTACTTCCTTCAAAGTTAGAACAGCGCATGTTAAAGTTCCTTGGCCTTGCACCTTACTAGGGACTGAGGCCATAATTTTATACAGGTGTTCTCTGAGATAACAGAATGATTCATCGTCTTATTGTTTATTTAAAAAACAGAATTTTTTTCTATTTGAGTTTGTTGAATATTAACACATCTTTTCATTATATCTCCTGCACCCATTTCCTTTTTTCCAGATGGACTGTTTTCTTGGTCCAGAGCAGTCCAGATCCGAACAAACTTGGACTTGGTTCTGGACTGGCTACAGGGGGCTGGATTAGGAGACATTGCTTCTGAGTTCATGAAGAAACTGTCAGTCACAGTCAACTTCCTTTGTATTCCCAAGACTCGACTTATCCAGGTAATACAACAGCATGTGCCTACTCAGTCCTCCAGCTCTTCTCTGAATGGACAGCTATTTATCTGTCTTAACCCCTTGTCTTCCAGTCCTCCTGGACCTGTCTAGAGGAGGAGCATGTCTTGTTAAGCTCTGCCCAGCTGCACCACCTGCTCACCCATTATAAGCTGGGACCAACCAGAGCTCCACCAGCATCTTGGGCTCCTCCACCAGGCACAGAGCTGAGCGGAGGTAATAAAGTAAAACTGTTAAATATAATAAATGAAACTTGCAGTTGTATGAAGGCCACAATATGCTAACCCCTGGACATAGGAATAAAGCTTACCTCTCACACTAAGGTGGCATATTTGAAACATATTAAAGCTCCAAACACTGCTTGAGGTTTTATGACGGAGATATTTACTCAGTAATTGACTACCATGAACCTGCGAACAGAGTTCCGTGCAGACCTCCCTCTTTCATGTTATTAATTCAGGTTAAGACCCCAAAACCTCCCAAATAACAACAACCTGCAATTATAGTGGCAGCTACCTCCTTATACCCTCATATGTAGACTTCATCCCTCCATCCAACCAGATGCTACAGTTTGCACTTAATACCCTTTTTGGCATGCAGTGTTGTTCTTCAGAACTCGTTTGCATATTGCATACTTGTCAATGTTCAGTATTCCTTGTTACTGCTAATGACTGCTTTTGACCGGTTGTAACCAACTTCCCAATTCACAGTAATTTAGCAGTTTATCTTCTCTTCTCTTACAAAACTAAATCATCCTAACCCAATAAAAATACAGAAAACTCACATCTGATTGAAATACAAAGAATCCCATTATTGCTTTCAACTAAACAATCAGAATTCCACCCTGATTACACAAAACTATCAATGCCTTAACATTAAAACATGGATCTTTATATTTTGAATACAATACTTGACTAAACATTGATTATCATTGATTAGACAGTAATTATCAATCAAATCTTTACTTTATGCATGAAACAATCATTTTTGTTACTTTTCTTAATAATCTCTGTCACACACACACACACTTCCTCTTTTGTATGGATGTGTGTCTTCAGCATTTTCACTCTCTATTATTTAGATTCTGAATGTACTTTAGACTTCTAAATGTACCTAATGTTTCAATACAATCCTTTCTCATTTTATTCTTACACATTCACTAATGATTATTTCAAAGAAAACACACGCACAAATCATCTTATTATTATCTTAACTTTTCTACTTTATGCATTCTGCCATAGCATTTAAATAATTTTCCTCTCTCTCCCAGCTCCTCTTGCTGTTTCTTGTAAACATTCTTGCTGTTCTTGTGTGAATTCTAACTGAAAAGAGACAATTTGTTCAATAGTCTCCTGCAGCCCTTCTTGTAATGATATTTCTGATGCCAGTTTTGATGTTATGGCCTGTGTTTCTTGTGCTTTTTGGTTCCCTCTGGGACCCGTTTTTACAGGCTTGCCAACACAGTGAGACAGTGACATTGAGCAATTATCTGCCAAAGTCATTTGATTCTAATCCTTTTTTGTAGACATCTTTGAGAGCTTCCTGGATCACCCTCCTCTTATCCTGCCAAATGAAACTCCACGCCTTGACCTCTCTCAGCCAATCCCAAGCCCTGCGCTCCAAAAGGAAGTGACACGTCTCCGCACCTTCTTGTGGGGACTTGACCAAGATGAGCTCCCTGCCAATCAGAGGACTCGGCTTTGAGGAAGCCCATATTTGTCTCTTTATGGATTTTGCATAGAAGTAAAAAGGATATCACCAGAAAAGTCAAACGGCAAACCACTGAAAAAGCAAAGTGAAAAATGTTTTCTGCATTTATTAGACTTGTTTTATTTTTATTAATTTAGATATTTTCAAGTAAATGAAAATTACTGGCTTTGGTATGCCATTTTGATCTTATTTTAAAGCAGGGAGGAGGGCCGTGTGTGTTGGGCCACATAATTGTTATGCTTTACATTACAGTTTTACTTGGCTTCCATGTATGTTTTCAAACTACTTGTTTTTAATAAAACACTGACGTCTAGTCTAAAAGAGTTACGGTTTCTGTATAATCCTTGACAGGCATGTTCCCACAGCAGGGCCCCTGGCACTTGGCACTCGTCTCAGCTTCAACACCAATAAAACATTCCACAAGGTGGTGATGCAGCACTCATTCCACTTTTGACATTAAATGATGAGTCTGCAGACAGAATTGCTTGACTAAGGAGGTGATCATACAACAATATAATCATCTGTTCCCAAAGCAGATTCCCATTTCCTGTAGTGTGATCATACAACAATATAATCATCTGTTCCCAAAGCACATTCCCCTTTCCTGTAGTAATCTTAGTATTTTACACAGGGTCATGACTCAAGCAAGCAAATGAAATGGTGAAAACCACACACAAAGGTTACCTTTACCAAGGTAAGCTGTCATAAAGATCAAAGCTGGGACTTTTAGAGCAGGGGAGATTTTAATTTCCACTCAAGTGGTCGGATTTCCCAGTGTGACAAAATCCCCTGGCCCTTAAAAAATGTTCACCTCATTAAGCATAAATTAGCAAAGGGTTGTCATGAACAGACATAAACAAGTGATACCATTGCAGTGAGTAACAACTTTACTTGAAGTGCCACAATTTTATAATATTTAGCCAATGTCACTACAGTATCTAGTCGGCCAGACGGCTTTAGAAAACAGCTCACTGCTTTCCTAGTATCGAGAGTGAAACTCAATGACGTCTTGACAAACAGACTAAAAGTTATCATGTTCCTCCTTTGGCATCTGGCCAAATGGCTTCCCTTCTTCTGGTCAGCTCTTCAGATGAATTCATTTACTGTAAAAAGCTCAAAAAAAAAAAAAAAAAAACAGCCTTGTGAGAGACCTCTGCTTACATCATTACTGTTGTCCCTGGTTCTGTCTCCCCAATTTCTCACCGTGCTGACATCAAAAAACATGCCATTGAGAAAGACCCGTTATAGATTATGAATCATGAGAACAAGCTCCCTGTGGTTACATTTATCAATTAAGTGATTGTTATCACTCTCATTTGAAATTCAATGCAGTGAATGAGTGAGAGTGAGACTGTGTCTGTGCGCTAATTTCAACTTTCCAGTAATGTCATACAGATGTAGCCTGTAACTTTATAATTAAACACAGATGGGGCTCAGACTGGTAGAGGTCCATGCTGATTGCGTCACATTACAGTAGTCTGTGATACAATATGGTGACCAGTGTCTGAGGACTATTAAGTAGCTTGTAAGGATTAGTAAGAGTGTGACACACACCAGTTTTCGGTGATTTCAATCACTGGCACACACTTTCACTCAGAATTGCACAGTTGTACACACACACATAAGCCTTATTCTCTGAAAAGCTCACACATGCACATACATTGCACATACATTACGTAGACTTCTTTAGCCAGGTGCAGTGTCCCACACCTGCAGTAGCTGCTCTCTGTAATTAGCTCAACACAATTATCATTGGTGGATAGAGGGCGGGAGGGTGAAGACAATGGGGCAGTTATTCTCACCCTATCATCTCCTTCTCTCTCCCCACTGTCGAGTAATGAAAGATTCTTCCCTTCTTCAAAGAGATGGAGTTTCCCACAAAACAGCTGAGTCAGAGGAGAAAAGAGAGGTGGATGAAAACAAAATGAGAACAGTAGTGAGGCGAGCATGGTAATGTAATGCTGCTGGTGTGAGGCCCAGTGGACCACAGTGATTGTGTTGGTACACACACGAGTCATTTTCGGAAACTAAAAAAGCCCATGACTCTCACGCTTAACAGCTACAACCTGACACGGCTTCAGTATCTACAGTAGTGATGATCTGGTAGCACTTTGTTTGAGCCCTGCGTCATCCTTAAGCCGGTAATAAAAGAAGATTTTTCAAGTCACATGTCACAGAAAAGGACAGACTACAGTGACTGCAGGGCCAATGATGGAGGTTGTGAGACATGTTTTATCAGGACATCAGAGGAGAAAGTGTGAAGGTCTAAGCCCAGAGTAGACATTACTGCCAAAAAATGTGGCTTTTTTTAATGCTGGTGGAACCTAAATTGTTTTTTAACTTTGTGGCAAAGAGAACAATATTACTTGTATGAGTCTGGCTTCCAAGAAATAAAGCTACATTTGTGATTTTATGACTGGTCTAATATTAAAGTTCAAAAATATTTAAGAACATGACTGTATTAGATAAACTCACCAGAAATTCAAGGAGCCAGCTTTAGACTGAAACAGAGTCAGAGTGGACAGTTCCAGAGTAAAGATTAGGAAGGAAGCAAGGGAGCAGGGGAATCTCTGTTAGGTCACAGACATACAAAAAGACAGACTGGGGGTGTAGGAATCTGTGTGAGGTTTGAGACAGCTGGAGAGAAGGTCAGGGGTGCA